CTTGTAGCAATATAATTCTGAGCCATGACTTTTCTTTTTCTTGTATCATGACTAGAATAATGTGCAGTGCATAAATACAAATTTGGCCATCTGAACATCTATGTATCAAATATAATGGCACCCACATTTGTAAAAGAAACATCAGTAAAGCTTAAATTACACATAAAGTCCCACAAACTAATAGTAGGAGGCTTCAACATTCCACTCTCAACAATGGACTGGTTGGCCAGACAGAAACTTAACAGAGAAACAAGGCAACTAACAGATATTATGACTCAAGTAGACTTAATAGAGATCTACAGAACATTTTACCCGAACACAAAAGAATATACCTTCTTCCCAGCATCTCATTGAACTTTCTCTAAAATTGGCCACATAATCATAAAGCAAATCTCAGCAGATGCAAATATTTTGAATAACTCTCTATATCTTATTGAGCCACCATGGGTTAAAATTAGAATTCAACAGCAACACAACCTATAGAAAGCCTACAAACTCAGGGAAGTTGAACAACTCCCAACTGAACTACGACTGGGTCAAGAAAGAAATAAGAAAGAAGTTAAAGACTTCCCAGAATTCAATGAAAATGAATGTACAATATATCCAAACTTATGAGTCACAATGAAAGCATTGCTAAGAAGAAAAGTCATAGTACTAAGTGCCCACATGAAGAATTTGGAGAAATCTTACATAAGTGACTTAACAGCACACCTGAAAGTTCTAGAACAAAAAGAATCAAACTCATCCAGGAGGAGTAGAATGCAGAAAATTATCAAACCCAGGGCTGAAATCAGTAAAAATTGGAACAAAGAGAACAATACAAAGAATCAATGAAAGGAATAGTTGCTTCTTTGAGAAAACAAAAAAGATAAACAAACCTTTATCCAAACCAATCAAAAGGTAGAAAAACAATATCCAAATTTTAAAAAATCAGAAAAAAGGGGGTCATAGCAACAGATAGAGGAAATACAGATAATTATTAGGTCATACTTCAAAAGCCTGTAATCCACAAAATTGGAAAACCTAAAAAAGAGGGACAACTTGCTTGAAAGGTACTACATACCAAAAATAAATCAAGAACAGACAAACAATTTAAACAGAATTATAACCCCTATGGAAATAGAAACAGTCATTAAAAGACTCCCAACAACAAAAAGTCTAAGGCTAGATGATTTCAGGGCAGAATTCTATCAGCATTTTAAAGAAGAGCTGATACCAATGTTCCTCAAATTGTTTCACACAACAGAAAGAGAAGGATTATTGCCAAATTCTTCTTATGAGGCTGGCAGTTATCCTGAAACCCAAACCAAACAAAGATGCAACAAAGAGAGAGAATTACAGACCAATCTCCCTCATAAACATTGATGCAAAAATACTCATTAATATTGTCACTAATACAGGCAAACCAAATCCAAGAACACATCAAAAAAATCATCCACCATGATCAAGTAGGCTTCATCCTAGAGATGCAGGGATGGTTTAACATATGAAAATCTATCAATGTAATTCATCATATAAACAAACTGGAAAAAAAAACCCACATGATCATCTCATTAGATGCTGAAAAGCTCTGACAAAATCTACCAACCCTTCATGGATACAAAGAACATACATAAACATCATAAATCCAATATGCAGCAAGTAAAGAGCCAACATCAAATTAAATGAAGAGAAATTCAAAGTGATTCCAATAAAATCAGGGACAAGATGAGGCTATCCACTCTTTCCAGATCTATTCAATATAGTACTTGAGGTTCTAGCAAGAGCAATAAGACAACAAAAGGAGATTAAGGAGATACAAATTGGAAAGGAAGAAGTCAAACTTTCACTATTTTCAGATGATATTATACTATACCTAAGTGACCCCAAAAATTTGATAGGAGAACTTCTACAGCTGATAAACACCTTCAGTAATGTGGCTGGATATATAATTAACTCAAAAAAATGATAAATGGACTGAGAAAGAAATCAGAGAAACAAAACCCTTTACAATAGCCACAAATAATATAAAATGTCTTGAAGTAATTCTAACCAAATAAATGAAAGACCTATATGACAAGAATTTTAAGTCTTTGAAGAAAGAAACTGGGGGAGAGATCAGAAAATGGAAGCATCTCCCATGCTCATGGATTAGTAGGATTAACAGTAAAAATGTCAATATTACCAAAAACAATCTACAGATTCAATGCAATCCCCATTAAAATCCCAACACAATTTTTCTTAGACCTCAAAAGAACAATATTCAACTTCATATGCAAGAAACAAAAAACCCAGAATAGCAAAAACAACCCTGTACAATAAAGGAACTTCTGGAGGTATCATCATCCTTGATGTCAAATTCTATTATACATCTATAGTAATAAAGGCAGTTTGGGATTGGCATAAAAACAGACACATGGATCAACGGAATCTAATCAAAGACCCTAACATAAATCCACACATCTACGAACACTTGATTTTGAAAGAGAAGCCAAAAATATACAATGGAAAAAAGAACGCATCTTCAACAAATAGTACTGGTGTAACTGGATGGCAGCACACAGTAGAATGCAGATAGATTCGTATCTATTGCTCTGCACAAAACTGAAGTCCAAGTGGATCAAAGACCTCAACATAAATCCAGTTACACTGAAGCTGAGAATAGAGAAAGTAGGAGTAGCCTTGAATTCATTGGCACAGGAAACTACTTCTTGAATATAACACCAGTAGCACAGACACTGAGATCAATAATTAATAAATGGAACCTCCTGAAACTGAAAAGATTCAGTGAGGCAAAGGACAATGTCAAAAAGACAGAACAGCAGCCTACAGAATTGAAAAGGATTTTCACCAACCCCATATATGACAGAAGACTGATATTTAAAATATATAAAGACCTCAAAAGCCTAGACATCAAAATACCGAATAACCCCATTAAAAATGGGATACAGATTTAGACAGAGAATTCTCAACAGAAGAATCTTAAATGGCCAAGATACACTTAAAGAAGGGACCAAAATCTTTAACTATCAGGGAAATGCAAATCAAAACAACTCTGAGATACCATCTTAGACCTGTCAGAATGGCCAAGATCAAAAACACTAATGACAGCCTATGTTGGAGAGAATGTGGAGTAAGGGAAACAATCCTGCACTGCTGGTCGGAGTGCAAACTTGTACAGCCACTTTGGAAATCAGTTTGACGATTTCTCAGAAAATTTGATATCAATCTACATCAAGACCCACCAATACCACTTTTGGACCTATACCCAATAAATGTTCAACCATACCACAAGACCACTTGCTCAACTATGTTCATAATAGCATTATTTGTAATAGCCAGAACCTGGAAACAGCATTTTATTAAACCAAAACAAATGTCAAATCTTTACAGGGTACAAGACCATTGTCCCACAGAGATCTGCCTGCCTCTACCTTTCCTGTGCTAAAATTAAAGGTGTGCATCATCACACCTAGCTCTAAGCTCTTAATTCCTTTTCACAAGTTGGATACTTAGCTGAGCAGGATCTTTCCTTGAGGTCACCACTCCCTTTATTCCATTTCTTAATCTTTCTATCTCTTTAAACAGAGGACTTAGCTCTATTCCACTTCCTGGAATAGAGGAATTCTATTTCTCATTTTCTCATCAAAAGCAACAGTTTGAAGGCATTCAAGGAGCTGGTGAAGCAGCTGGGATTCTTGCAGAAAACAGGAGTGGTCTGTCTCACTGGGCATGGTTTGAGCACATATGAGACTTCAAAGCCTGCCTCCATAGTGATGCACTTCCTCCTACAAGGCCACACATACTCCAACAAATCTACACCAACAAATAATGGCACTCCCTCTGGGGGTCTTTTTTTCAAACGATCAGAGATTAGTAAGAATACTAAATGCCACCCAATGTATGCTTTGAAGGATGAATCAGTGCCTTGAAAACAAGGGTTTCTGACATAAATGCTTCTGTCCTGGGACTGACTCCAAAGCTTCTGTTAGCATAGGCAGGTAGGCAAACATGACCAGGATCTAAGAAACTCTCTCGTACAGGGGATCTCATGCTACCCTCTGCCCTTTGTGGGCACCAGGCAGGTACCTGGTGCATAGACATACATGCAGGTGAAACACCCACATACATAAAATACATTATCTTAATTTAAAAGACTGAAGAAAGTGGGACATCTAATATACCAAATTAGAGGAGGCCTCTTTTCTTTGGGATCTGCAAATGCAATGTGTCCTGTCTAGGGATGGAGGACAGGACATCCTGTGCTAATTTGACTCAGTGTCTATTTCTGTCATTTTGCAAGGAGAGCTCATCCAATGGAGCAATCTAAACTCTGGCAGTTGGCAAAGTCTCTTGAAACATTTTTATAATTATTCTTTACTAATAATAACTCAGAAGTCAAATATTGAGGTAAGATTCTGAATGATCAGAGAAGCGGCAGAGAAAAGGCCAGTGACCTCCTTTGTCTCTCTTTCCTGGATCCAAAAGAGAATCTTTCTAAATTTCTCCATTTTACTTCCCATGTCTCTCTATATGTCCTTGCTCTCCCAAAACCTCTATGGCTAATTTTGGTCTATTATTAGCTCACTCTGCCTTCTGATTCAAAGAAAACTTTATTGGCAGTCTCAGGATTGTCAGAACACAACCGAAACATCCCACAATAGTCTCTTTTAGAAGTTAGCGCCTGAAATCTGCATGCTACACTAATGTAGACATAAGAGGAGATCTGGAGCAAACACCTTCACAGCTGAATTCCTGGCCTGGAAAGAGGCTTGGGATTAATAATGGACAGCTGCCATATGCTCTTTGCATCCTATGAATTTACTCCAATGGTATCCTACTAGCCAGAAACCCAAGGCTCTCATCAGATTTTTCTTTCTCCAGGACCCATGTGTTTCCCAACCCCCGCCAGTCTCAACCCTGCAGGGGCCAGACAGGATGAGGTCAGGCCTTTTACTCCTCCTCTGCCTGGGGCTCTGATCTCTGCAGGGTGTGGACTTCATGATCAGAGACTTCCTGAACTGAGTAAGCAGTTAAGCCCTACTCCAGGACAACAAGCCTTGAACACTGTGCTGGGAGACTGCAAAATTGGCAGGTGAGTGCACCCGGCTCAGTCCAGGACTGTGGGTTCTCTGGGGGTCACCTTTAGAAGGCACACACTGAGTCCAGGAGATGGAAAACTAGGACTCTAGGATTAGGAAAAGAAATAGAGGAAAGGTGATGTCTAGTGGGTGTTTATAGAGGTGACTTCTTGAGAAATCCAACTTGGGCAGTGGTAATGATGCTGATCTTAGTGCTGGGGTCCTAGAACTTTATTGATCCATCTTAGTCAGGCATAGACACTGCAGGGTCTCAGTGGACTTCTCCTCTGTCCTCTGTCCTGTTTCCTCTCAGGTGCTACCATCTAGCCCATTTGACTAACTTTGCCCTCTACTCAAGGATCTGCAAAATAGTGCCTCTTACTTCTGGGCCCTTCTTGATGAGCAGGCTCTAGGCTAGTATGAAAACTCTTCATTTTCATTTTTAAAATGCCACCACATGTTGACTGAACACTCTAATTCCAAACTTTACCTTGAGCATGCTTCAGGAGCTTAGAATCAGGGTGTCAGACTTCTCCATTGCCTTCAGAGAGCTCTGAATATCTTGGGGACAATAATCAGTAAGAGAAAGGAGTGCACTTAGGAGCCAAGAAAGAAATGGTTGTGGTAGAGGAGGATTAGAGTCACACAGCAGGGACCCTGAGGTTGTCATTTCCCAATGAAGGAGGGATGGTTGAGTAGCTGGAACTCAGTGACAGTGAAGGGGTAGATGAACTTCTCAGTGGAATAAACACTTCAAGGATTCTATGGAATTTTAATGAGGCATCAATCCACTTGGGCAAGAATGCAGGGGTGGCAGAAAGGCCAGAAGAGGGGATCATCCTGAGGGTAAGTCATTGAAATAAATCAGCCCCATCTTTCCTGAAAAGCATTGGAGGAATTATGGGGAATAGCAAAATAACCTGGACACTCTCTCAGGATGCTGTGTCCTTCTGTCTGGGGAGATGATAGAAGTATGAGTTGTGATGTTCTGAGGCTCCCTAGGGTAAGTGATCTGCATTTTAACACAGAAGAAAGCATTCCGGAGCAAGCTCCCAGCGTTCAAAGGTCATAAGACATCGAGAGCACAGTCATGGGATGTGCAGGGACTCAGATTTCGGTTAAGGTGTTAGGAGCAGTCACTTATTCTGGGTCAAGCCGTCCATTCACCAGGGACTGAGGCATGCTCAATAGAGAAGCAGCCTGGACAGGTGATCAAGGCCACGTGAGCAGCCACTGCAGGAGGTTGCCCCCTGCTGCACAGCAGAGCTAATGACACCACCCTGCCTTTGGGTCTCATTCAGCACCTCAGGCTCTTTCCTGTAACAGCTACAAACATGGAGACACTATCTAAAGCACACCCGGACATCTCAGAGGAGTCTTCACAGGCACACACAGAGCTTTGCTGCAGCCAGACTAGAGGACCTAGATGCTCATGGTTGTTTACTTCTTCCTTCCTCTTCTCTTCTTCCTCCTTATTATCCTTGACCTCACCATCTTCAGAGAGAGGACCTGGACTTTATGGAAGGAGACTAAAGTCTACCTCTCTCTGTTGTGTCTTTGTGTGCTGTTCTGATGATCTGACCTTCTACCTGTGCAGATGGAGCACGTGCTAGTTTGGTCTGTTGCCATGCCATACTTAGCTAATAACCTTAAAACTGGATGGATTGTGATTGAGAATAAAATTTTAAAACGCACTTAAGTACTTAGGAATTTTTTTTAAAAGATTTATTTATTTATTATGTATACAACATTCTGCCTTGATATATGCCCGCACACCAGAGGAGGGCGCCAGATCTCATTACAGATGGTTGTGAGCCACCATGTGGTTGCTGGGAATTGAACTCAGGACCTCTGGAAGAGCAGCCAGTGCTCTTAACCTCTGAGCCATCTCTCCAGCCCAGTACTTAGGAATTTTGAAATGAGAACCAAGAGTAGAGTCCCAGATTTCCCTGAGTCAGATCACAGAACCTCCAGCGCTGTACTGAGTACCATTTCTCCTTTGCCTCCAGACTCTGCATCATGAACACTCTGTCTGAAGCAAACGGCACCTTTGCCATCCACGTTTTAAAGATCCTTTGTCAAAACAACCCTTCGAAAAATGTATGTTACTCTCCTGTGAGCATCTCCTCTGCTCTAGCTATGGTCCTCTTGGGGGCGAAGGGAGACACTGCAGTCCAGATATCTCAGGTATGTCACCTGACACCTGTTTCACTTGCCTAAAAGTTGCTGAGAAGGGAGGGTCAGAATACGTACACTCTGTTTCATGGGGCAGGAACTAAAGATGAAGGGAACCATAGTCTCGTCCAGTATGATCTCTTTAAAAAGCATTGAGTTTTCCTGTGTAAAACTTTGAGGGATCGTGTGGATTTCTCTTACAAAATGGAGCATAAATAATTTCATGCTAAGACCTGGCGCCATAGACTTTAATCCCAACTGCCAAGGACACTGAGACAGGAGGATCCCAAGGCCAAGGTTAGCCTGGGCAAGTCAATTTCAAAAGAAATGGTCTTTGTGTTATTGGTTTCTTGGTTGTTTGTTTATAACTCCACTCTCTTACCTAGCATAACTGGGGAAATAGGTTCAGTCACAATACTGCAATGAGAAAAAAAGATGTTACAATTATTTGAATCATGGGTTGCTGTGTTCTAACTTATTTTCAGAGCAATATATTTTCAATATTTATTGGCAAGGAAGGTGAATTCATAATCCTATCTCTTTAAATCCCAAACCACCCTGCATTAGATACTCATGTAATTTACTATGTATTATACTCATGTAATTTATTATGTGAGCCATCCCTTTAGCTTGAAAATTCCTTTTGAAATCAAAATGTTTCTCACTGAGCTCACAGTGTTTCATTCTTTTTTTCCACAGGCACTTTGTTTAAACACAGAAGACGACATTCATCAAAGCTTCCAGAGGCTTCTCAGTAATCTGAACAAGCCCAACAGAAAGTACTTGCTTAGAATGGCCAACCGGCTCTTTGCAGAGATCACTTACGAATTCCTCCCAGTAAGTTGTATCAGTAGAATGACATCAATTGTATTCAAATACTTATTGCTAAAGATTCCTACTGAAGGACTCTAGAGAAATTTAAAAAATTAAGAGACAAGTTCTAGGTAATGTTATGATGTGCATCTGTAACATCTGCATTTAGGAGGCTGAGACAGGAGGGTCGTGAATTCCAGGACAGGGTAGGCTATATAGGGGAACTCAACTCCATAACGTTCCCCAAAGATGACAATTCTATAATGATACCTTGAAATATTTTAAATCTGACACTTATAAGTTTTATTTATTTATGTCTGGTCGTTCCCACTTACAAAGGCCTAGTACATGAAGACATTTGTTACTTAACGTGATACCTACACTCACTTTAGTTTATTTTTTAATGCCTTAGTATTCAGAGTGTTGGGATTCTTGCTGACATTTTAATTTTCAGTGTTACCTCTCTGAACATTTTCTCTCCAAAGACCTATAAGGAGTCCTGTCTCCAGTTCTATCACTCGGAGCTGGAGCAGCTGTCCTTTGCCAAAGCTCCAGAGGAGTCCAGGAAGCACATAAACACGTGGGTCTCCAAACAGACTAAAGGTCAGAATTTCAAGATATTTCACACCCCACATTCTTGTCCTTTCCATCCACCCCTCCCTCTTCTTCCTTCCCTCCTCTTTCTTACCTTTCCCTTCTCCCTACCCCCATGGACTAATCTCATGTTATTTCAGAGAGTTAAAGCAATGCAGACTAACATCATTATGTGTGGTATAATTCAGACCTCAGTGAATTCATGGAAGTTTTATTCTGGCTCTTAGATTTAAAAAATACAGTTACTTGTATATTTCTTCAGGACAGAGTGGTTGATACAAATGTCATAAAAAATCATTGGCCTGACTTTCCAGTCTTAACAGTTTGCATTAGAAGGCAGGGGTGGCTGTGGGGTCAGCAGTGATAAGAAGGGGTTATTTGGCTGTGGTAGGATATGCCTATAATCCCAACATTCGGGAAGCTGGGGTAGGCAAATCTCAAAGAGGCTACCCTAGGCTTCTCAATGAGGTCAAGAGGAAAAAGAATGTCAACGGACAGGGAAAGGACTTGTAGTCTGAAGCCTTGTGGACTAGGGCATAGATCTCACACTTGACATGAAAACAGTTAAATTTGCAATTCTAGTGCAGTGCAGAACATGAGAAAAACATGCTCCTACCATTCAAGCTTGGCATTCATCCAAAAAGAAGGCACTCTGGGAAAAAGTCCATTAGTTAACACGTGGCAGTAGTGGTTTAGGTGTTTGCCAGAAGAGATTAGCATGTGTAAAGATATCATTGTGTGTGGCTGCTAATGGTTCATGCATGAATTTTATTTTACCTAAGTAAAATGTATTTGAAGAGGAGCTGTTGGTCTGGATCTAGAATCGGTCTATCTGTGGAATTTATCATATATATATATATATATATATATATATATATATATGTCACAATAAAAAATAAAAGACAGGAGTGGTCCTACTGTTGGCAGGTCATGTGACTCCACCACCTCTGAGATGGAGGATTCATATGGAGATCGTCCCCATAATTTTACCCTGAGCTGGTTCTTCCTGCAGTCTGTGTTGTCTGAGCTCCCACCACATCTACCACTGTTTCTGCTTCCATATTTACTGCTTCAGAGCCCTTACTTATATTTTGGTAAAACTAGACATGACTTCCATTGGAGATACTCTGTCAGGCCTGCTCAGTTACATTAACCTCAATGAGTCTTCCAATAGGGGTTGAACTTTATTTGTTTTTATTTTAGAGATGACATGCTCCAAAATTGGTCTTTGAAATCATTGAGATCATTGTCTGGTAGTTGAACATTTCAGATGCCTCTGGGTACATTATTTTTTTCTGAAATGAAATGAAATAAAGCGAAATGAAATATATACCCTGGTCATGCTGAAGCATGTATGGGCAGCCCATTATATGGCAGTTTGTTGAACTTGTCCATATGAGATTTCATGGTCTAAATTGATGATTACCATTTACCAGGTCTCTTCCTCAAGAGGGTACCAGATCTCATTAGAGATGGTTGTGAGTCACCACATGGATGCTGGGAATTGAACTCGGGGTCTTTGGAAGAGTAGGCAGTGCTCTTAACTTCTGAGCATCTCTCTTTTATGTGTACTCAGCAAATATTTGACAATTCTTATTGTAGTCTTTACCTATTGGGCACACTTGACATACTAAGTTAGTGAGGATTCTCTTCTATATTGAAAGGATGCTCTTTAAACAGAAGAAGGGAATCTGTCCTCTGACCTGCACTATCTCTTCCAGGGATGGACAGCACTCCAAAGTATATGATAACAATACCTTCTTCACAAACTACTTTCTGTCCTTGAGTCTCTGATGTGTTGTGCTATGCTGAAACTGGGCATGACCATGGAGTGCTAGATGAGATACTGTATCTAACATTAGTGTATTAGTCAGAGTATTCTAGAGGAACAGAATGAACACGTATTACTAGGGGGATTCAGTAGATTGGCATATACAATACTGGCTGAGTAGTCCCACATGGACCATCTGCATGTGGAGAGGCTGAGAATCTGGTGGCTGCTCAGTCTATGGGGTTGGAGACCTCAGCAGTCTCAGCCTGGAATGGAAAGCCTAGAGGATTCCAGAGAGGCACTAGTCTTGGTTCACATGAAGGCCAAAGCTACTGGGCTCCAGTGTCAGCTGAAAATGGCAGGTGCAGAGGTGTGAACAGTGCAGACGCACTCACCAGTGAGGGCTGAAGGCAGGCAGGCAAAAGCAGTGCTGCTTCTCCCTCAGGGCTTTAGTCGGGGCAGCACAGGAAGGCATTGCCCACTCTGGGGAGCGTCCTCTCACTTAGAAATGTCCTCACAGACCTGAGCAGAGACATGTCTCTTAGTCGTTTCCAAATCCAATCAAGATGGCTACTGACCTTAGCACCCAGGGGAAACCTTGGTCTCCTGTGGCCCCTTCCACATTTCCTGCCTCTTTGTTCTCCATCCTGGAGTCATTTTTTTCAGCTTTTCCTATACCTGCTCTCTTTGAGAGACTTATGATGCTGAACTTAGTGCAGACTCCCTATCAACAAAGCGCACTATAATCCAGAACTCCTGGACTCAAGCTGATTCTCCCGGCTCAGCTTCCTGGTTGTGGTGGCACTATTGTAGCTGTGTGCCCAGGAAATGTAAGCTTTGAGCTCTTCGAATTGGTTTTAGCACCTGAGATACTGAAAAATATGCTTAAATTAAGAGCAGTCATTAAGACAATCAAAGTGATTTCAAAAGTTGATGACCTGGATAAAGAGAAAATCCAGAGCCTTCTGTCAGTGCAAATTACAGATCCTTAGTGGTGGCTGGCTGGAGCCGCAGGTGGGAAGGGTCAGTGCCCAAATACCCAAATGCACCAGTGAGACTTTGGGTGATTGCTCAGGTAGCCAGTTGTCTCTGTCATATACTGCATATTTTGGAAGCTGTTTGATTGTACTTCCTGCCTACTCAAGTAATATTATCTCCCTTCTCAGGCTTTCAGTGGGGTTGAAGATTAGATAATCATGGTTACCTTCCTCATTTGATTTAGCCAAGCCATTTCTGATGCAAGACTTTAGGACAGAATGTTTATTAAAACATTTAGCATGTGTTTCTTGCTTAATATTGTTTATGCTGGTTGTAATCCTGATTTTATACTTGATATCTGTTCCTAGTGTATATAGTTTTGTACTGGGTTTGGAACTCTCTTATTTAGACAAAAGGAGGAGGTGATGAGGAACCTTTGTGGGTTGGAACAATTAGGGTGTGACCTTTTGGGTATCTAGAGAAAACTGCCAACCTGCCCAGCATTCAGTTTCTCTCTCTCTCTGGTTCCCACGCTACACAGCTGAGGTTGGACTTCTCGTTTCTGTTCCGTGAGTTTGTCCCTTATAATAAGGAAAATATAATTGGTTTATTTTGGAGTTAGCCTTGGATTCTTTAACCTGTGTCCGCAACTCCCAACAGACTTAGAAGTCTTTCACAATCCTCACCTTGGCCATGTGGGCATGACATCAAGTCAAATATATTGTTTTTTTATTTTTTTTTTTTAAAAATATGTTTATCCACAAGCAGGAAATTTGAAAACATGATGCTTGGATCTGCCCAGATGTCACATCAACTTATTTCCCACACTTGTATTAAATGAACCTGAATAAAGTCTCTGTTATCTCGAAAGGGAAAATTCCAGAGTTGCTGTCAAATGACTCAGATGATCTAGAGACCAGACTGGTTCTTGTCAATACCTTATATTTCAAAGGAAGATGGAATAAAGAGTTTGACACAGAAGATACCCGTGAAATGCCGTTTAAGATAAGTCTGGTAAGTAACATTATCCAAAAGTTCATGCCAGTGTGATGAAGAAATAACACTGAGAGTTGTAATCGGCTGTGAATGTGTAGCTCTGGGGCTCAGTGGCAGAGATTGCATGTCCTGTGGGGTGCTGGGTTTGAACCTCAGTACAGGAAGAAGGAAAACAGGTAAGTACAGAAAACCATTTGAAACTTAATTTTCTGAATGAAAGGTTAAACTCCACAAAAAATGATACAAAAAAAAGAGTATTTACTGTCTGTGTTATTATGCCAGTGTGTGGACAAAGGCTTTGGAACATGACCCTTTGTAGATCACTTTAGATCCAACTGTGACTTTAAAATATTAATATTATTAACAGCACATTTTTCCTGCTGGATAATTCATCATCTTTCCCTAGTAAATCCCTGTGCAGGTTGTGGTTTGTTTTCACCTTGACACAAGCTAGAGCCATTAGAAATGATGGACTCTGCACTGAGAAATTGTCTCCATAAGATTGACCTAGAGGAAATTCTCTTGGGTATTTTCTTGATTTGCTATTGGTGTTGGCCCAGCCCACTATGGGTAGTCATGACTGTGTATGAAAGCAGGCTAAGAAGTCCATGGGAAACAAGCCAATAAGCAGCACCCCTCCACGGCTTCAGCCTGAGTTCCTGCTCTGACTTCCCTCAGGGATGCAATGTGCCTTGAGAGTTGTAAGATGAAATAAACCCTTTTCCTTATGCTGCTGTTGCTCATGTTATTTTATCACAACTCTAGAAACCCTATCTAGAGCAGTCCAATATCTACTTCTAACAATTTTTTTTTTGTTTTTTCGAGACAGGGTTTCTCTGTAGCTTTAAAGCCTGTCCTGGAACTCTCTTTGTAGACCAGGCTGGCCTCGAACTCACGGAGATCCACCTGCCTCTGCCTCCTGAGTGCTGGGATTAAAGGCATGCACCACCACCTCCAGGCCCTAACAATTATTTCTTTAATGAAACCAGGAAGAGGCTGGCAGACATTGACTAAGTGTTCATTGGACCACATATAGTGTTTTCACTGTGAGTGCTGAGAACACTCCCGACATTAACTTCTGCTCACTTGGAAACATTCTGACCTCTCTGAATAATGCCTTTTATGCCATTTGTTTGTGTGTTCAGAAGGAAGAGAGACCAGTGCAGATGATGCGTCAGGAAGACAGATTTAACCTCGCCCACGTGAAGGAAGTACAGGCACAGGTGCTGGTGATGCCCTATGAGGGCCTGGAGCTGAGCTTTGTGGTCCTGCTCCCGGACAATGGTGTGGACCTCAGCCAGGTGAGGCAAAAGAGTCCCTAGCAATCACCACACTAAAATGTCTTCAGGGAGAATCCGGTGTCCCTGGTGTCCTTTCTCATTAGAGCAGAGCTCAATGTTCTCAACTTGACAACTGCCATTTGAGTATTTAGTGCTTACAGACCCAGCTTCCAGCTCTGTGCACGCTCTGCGTTTTGGGATCAAATCTGTGTCTAAGACTCCCATTGTGGGTGGTGTGACCTTGTCATATGACATAACTTCATCACTAGGGAGATGGTACCCGAAAGGATGAAAGGAGGGCAACTTGGGCAAGATGCTTAGCATAGTGCTTGAACATAATTACCTCCCTGTAAATATAACTATATCATAATTTTTGTTAACAATTTATTTTAATTTTGGAGAAGATAAAATAGACAGAAAAAGTATTGCCCTTTTACCCAAGAAAGAGGAAGAGCAGGGGTGCCAGCTGGGCAGGACAAAGTCAGGCACATCATAATGCCACATCTTGGTCTTCCTTGGAGCAGGATACCCACAGTGCGTCAGCCACCCTCTGAATGGAGGGTAGTGCATCAGCCACACTCTGAATGGAGGGTAGTGCAGTGTGCATGACATAAGGGGTCTTTGTAAGCAGAATAGCTCCCCTGGCTCTTCCCATCCAGCTCCCTAACTGTGGCATCACTTCTGGTGTTAGTTTTTTATCACTGACAAAATGCCTGACATGAATAACCTAGGAGAGGAAGTATTTATGTAGGCTCACAGATTCAGAGGGCTCATTTTATGTTACCTGGCACATCCTTGGTTTCTATTAAGGCAGGTGCATGTGGCAGATAATTCAGACCTTCAGTGAACAGGAAGCAGAGAAAGAATGTATATGGAATGAGAATGACCTTGAGAGATATACCTCCAGGCACTATTTTCATTCAGCTAGATCCCCTAATGCCTGAATCTTAGCAGCCTCCCAAACAAGGGTTCAGATATGAGGCTTTTGGTGTAATTTTATATTCATGCCCCAACAGCCCACAAAACACAAAGAACCCAATCCTAGATAGACATTTCCTTCCAGGATGGCTCACACCAATTCCTATCTTGACCATTTTTAATGGTTTTAGTTTCTATGGTTTATTGTTTTCAAAACTATAGATTAAAAACTTCTGTCTTATCCAGTCTTTCAGTCATAGAGTGCCAACGAAACACACAGAGGCTTATATTAATTTTAAACTGTTTGGTCTGTTAACCCGGCTTAATATTAACTTATTCTTCCAACTTGAGTTAACCCATAATTCTTGTCTCTGTTTAGCCACGTGGCTTGGTACCTTTTCTCAGTGAGGCATTCTCATCTTGCTTCCTCACTGTCTGACTGGTGACTGACTCTCTACCTCTCCTCATATCCGAATCATATTTGTATGGTTGCCCTGCTCTTACTTCTTGACTGGCTACTGGGCATACAGTGTTTTATTAAACTAATATGAGTGACAAATCTTTAGAGCATAAAAGAGCACAAAATTAAATCTAGTTAAAACAAAACAAAACTAAAGCAAACACAATCTAAACCATTATCACCTGGACATGGACATCTATCAGAATAAATGATGTTTCAGAAGAGATTTAGGAGATGACAACTAAGTGTTCCTACTCCTGGGCTCCTTGGCCACCATGCCCATCAGGGAAGTCACACACAGACTAGCAGGTCAGTGGGACCCTTACAATGCCTCTCTATGTAAATAAGTAGTACCCCCTGTAGGATGATGGAGGGTTCTCTGAGCAGGAAGTGACTATGAGCCTCTTGGTAAGACCTCAAGCATGAAACTGACAGTCTATAATTCTGCTTTATCAGGTGGAAAACAATCTCACTTTTGAGACGTTAATGACCTGGACCAAACCTGACTTTATGAAGAGCATTATGGTTGAGGTTTTCCTTCCAAAATTTAAACTACAAGAGGATTATGACATGAAGTCTGTGTTTCAGCACTTGGGAATGGTGGATGTCTTCCAAGGCGGCAAGGCTGATTTATCAGGAATGTCTCCAGAGAGAGACCTATGTCTGTCCAAGTTTGTTCACAAGAGTGTTGTGGAGGTCAACGAAGGCGGCACTGAGGCTGCAGCATCTTCAGCTGGAAAAGATGTATTTTACTGCGACTGTGATGATGATGATGATGTTCCAACGTTCTGTGCAGACCACCCCTTCCTTTTCTTCATCAGGCACAACAAAACCAATAGCCTCCTGTTCTGTGGCAGGTTCTCCTCTCCCTAAAGGCACAGTTACCATTTGGGAAACAGTTTACAACTCTGTGAGGATGGGCATGGAGGGGTATGAAAGCACTATCCTCCTGACAGCCTCATCTAATGAGGCCCATATTCCTCTCTGCCTACCTTGACATTCATCTGTTCCCTTTGCCAGGTTACGGGACCACAGAGTGATTTGTTTTTTTGTTGTCTTTAGGAGCCAAACAAATCCAACAAGGTAGCCTATAGGGTTATCTAAGGTGACCCTAATAAAGATCCTACACACTGCACAGAAAAGCCACGCCTGCTATATACACTGTGCTTTCCTGGCTCCTCAACTCTTGCCATCACTTGCCTTAACCTGTTCACATCATAGTAAACACTTCTGTGGATGATGATCACAGATCTCCTAGTGATTGGCCCTTAGTGCACATTTTAACTTTACTTTTCTTTGCTGTTCACCAGTCACCGGGTGTGTGCCCACCACTGTGTTAGGCTTGGGGGCAGGTGCAGACAGTGTGGTCCTCTAACAGCTGGCCTTTTCTATATGTTGTCAACTTATCTAGGAGTCCTGACAGCTAGCTTGGACTACCACATGTTCCCTCACAGGAGTCACACTTCTGTAGACAATTGGGCTTCACCACAACCAACTGTAATAATAATTCTTTGAAGCCCTTAAAGGTCATTTCAAAATAAAGTCTGTTTTCTCATCAACCATGTTGTTTTTTGAATTTTAATTGGGTCATTTACAGTGGTTACTTTATCTGTTTGCCTTCTACATGTTACATACTCACCTAACTAGACCTTATAGTCATTAGTGGTCAAGGTCATATCTAAGGATGCCATATAACCCAGGCTATGCCACTTATAGGTGGCATAAATGATTCACCTATATAAGAGTGCCATAATTGGGCTTGAGAGAAGGCTCAGAATTTTGGAGCCAGGAACACTTTCCACTCTCTATATGGCAGATCATCACCTCCTCTAACTCAGGCTTCAGGGATACTAAGGCCCTCTTTCTCCTGAAATCGGATGCCTGTATGCATATGGTGAATGCGACTTAAATCAGACTCACATGCATACAGACAAACTTAAAAATAAATAAATTTTAAGTGAAGAATGCAGTAACATTTTATCAATTTTTATGTAATACCTACTATTGTGCATTTTTAAATATTTTGCTTGTATTCTTTCATGTAATAAAATCAACAATACTTGGGTAAGAGATTCAGTATGTGTCAAAGCCATCTTCTCAGCACCCCATGGAACCTTCTCTAAAATGACCTACACACTTGGTAACAAAGCAAATCTCAACAGATACAAAAAATTGGAATAACCCCCTGTATATTATTGGAGCACCATGGTTAAAAAGTTAGAATTCAACAAAAACACTAATTGCTGAAAGCCTACAAACTCATGGAAATTGAGAAGTGATCAATTGAATCACCCCCTTGGTCAAGGAAGAAATATGAAAAGAAACTAAAGACTCCCTAGAATCAACAAAATGAAGGCACAGCATACCCAACCTATCAAAGCAGTGCTAAGAGGGAAGTTCATAGCACTAAGTGCTCACATAAAGAAAGTGGAGAAATCTTACATTAGTGACTTAACAACACACCTGAAAGCTCTAGAACAAAAAGAAGCAGACTCACTCAGGAGGAGTAGAAGACAGGAAATAATGAAATTGAGGGCTGAAGTCAATAAAATAGAAACAAGGAAAACAATACAAAGAATCAGTGAAACAAAGAACTGGGTCTTTGAGAAACTCAACAAGATAGACAAACCCTTATCCAAACTAATCAAAAGGCAGAGAGAGAGCATCCAAATTAACAAAATCAGAAATAAAAATGGGGACATAACAGCAGATCTCCCTGTTCTTATTATGCCACACTCAAGTTGGTTCTCCATTAAATCCCTGTCTGGATTTGAATATATCTACCATTTTTTTATTAAATTTTCCCAAGGTCTATATTTTAGCACTGAGATTAACTCACTTTCTCAATGCTAAAACAAAAATTAAAATGCTAATAATATTTACAATTGACTTTACATAAAATCCATCTAAACTAGTTATACTCTCATTTAATTGTGCCATTTTCAAACTGCCTAGCATATTATCATATAGAAACCTAAATCCTTCCATTGTAATGATTTTTTCATTTTTATTACTTTAAAAATAATATAAATCAAAATTTCCACTTCCTCCCCTCCTCCCTCTTTCCTCCCATTCCCCCAACACCCTACCCCCTCCAGTCCTAAGAGAGGGCAAGGCACCCTGCCCTGTGGGAAGTCCAAGGCCCTCCCCATTATATCCAGGTTGAGTAGGGTATGCATCCAAAGAGAATAGGATCCCAAAAAGCTAGTACATGCAGTAGAGACAAATCCCAGTGCCATTGTCATTGGCCCCTAAGTCTGCCCCAACTGTCAACCACATTCAGAGGGACCAGTTTGAGCCCATGTTCATTCATTCCCAGTCCAGCTGGAGTTGGTGAATTCCCATTAGCCCAGGCACACTGTCTCAGTGGGTGAACCCCTCATGGTCCTGACGTTTTTGCTCCTATTCTCCATCCTTCCTCTCTTCAGCTGGGCCTTGGAAGCTCAGTTCAGTGCTCTGATATGTGTCTCTGTCTCTGTCTCTATCCGTTATCAGACAAAGGTTCTATGGTGATATTCATGATAGTCATCAGTTTGACTATGGGACAAGGCCAGTTCAGGCACCCTCTCCTCCACTGCCCAGGGTCCTAGCTGGGGTCATCTTCATGGACTCTTGGGAACCCCTCCAGAGCCAAGTCTCTTGCCAACCCCCAAATGGCTCCCTCAATTAAGATATCTTCTTCCCTGCTCCCATATCTGTCCTGGGGGGGATAGAGAGGGGGAGGGAGGGGGAGAAGGGAAGGATTGGGGAGAGCTTGGGGGAGTAGGATAGTTGAGATATGTTCCATTTTTAATGTGGGAAAAACTCTCTCTTTTAAATAATTTCTCTCTTAAAGAATTCCCAATTGTCTTACACACACACACACACACACACACACACACACACACACACACCAGCAAAAGCCTGACAAGATTTCAAGGCAGCTACTTAGTTTGGCAGCAGCCTGAGAAGAGGGTTCAGGAAGAGCCTGCCAGGAGAGAAAAGAAGGAAAACCTAGCCAGCAGTGCAATGACTCTAGCTGCTTTTATCTCTGGCCTGTGCTGCTGGCTGTAAAGTCACAGGGAAACGCCTTTTTTTTTTTTTTTTGTGAATTTGTACCCCAAATATTGGGCACCAAATTTAGCATGAATAATAAAAGCCCAGAGACAGACTTTGAGGTTCAATGTGAAGATCAGAAAAGCAAAGCAGCCAACCACTAGAGAGACCTTTTACCTCTATCAAATCTTCTGACCAAAAGGATGAGATCCTGTCTCCATGAATCCTTGGACTCCACACGCCCCTGCATTACTGTTTATTCCTCCTTCATCTTCCTCTTTCCACCTAGTCATAGAGCTCCTGTCTCCACCTCCCTAGTGTTGGATTAAAGGCATGGGATCCCAAGTGTTGGGGTGACTTTTGTGTGAGCTATGTTTCTCTTTTAGACAGAATCAATTCTGTGCTGCCTGGGTGGCCTTGAACTCACAAGATCCATCTGTCTCTTTCTCCTGCATCCTGTGATTAAAGGTGTGTGCCACAACTCCCTGGTCTGTATGGCTGGCTAGTGTGACCGCTTTGCCTGCTGATATTTGGGCAAGCTTTATTTATTAAAACACAAATAATATGTCACTATACTAGTGATGCTACCCTCTAGTCCATGAAAGTACAGTGCCTTGGATGCTGTCTATAGCCATATTTGTAGCAGTAAAAAAAAAATGAAATCTGGTATCCTTTGCATTAGTAGGTAAGGAAGCATGTTTTATACTGAAAGCTGAAAAGGAGTTAGAAAGATGTGCTATATCCTTTTATGTCAGCTTGAGAAGATGCTGAGCCACACTAGCTGGCTTGCTCTTCAATGTAGAGTTTCATATACAAGATCATGTTGAAAAACCTGAACCAAATCACAAGTTACCCTGAATACCTGCTGATACTTGCTTCCAGGCTTGAAAAGGACCTATGCCACCTTCCAGCCCCACCTTTGCCCTTTAGGCCACACACTCTTTCTCTTCTGGGTCCTCCAAGGCTCACGGGTCCATTCCAGAGCCACCTGAATGGAAACTCCAACTCGTCTTAATTGAACAATGAACTGGCGATATAAGCGGAAATCCTGTAACAATTATCCCTTTTTGTCTAATAAAAAGGGAAAGGTTCTAACATAGTAAAACTATATACTATAAGAATTATTATCAAGTATTATCAAAATAGAAAGAAAAGGTAATAACCTTAACAAATGAAACTACATACAACAAGAGCAATTATCAGTAAGAAAGACATACTCAATGTCTAGTCCATATGTAACTGGCAAATTTAGAAAGATTACTCCATTTGTTGTCTTCTCCAGAAGAACCCAAAGTTTTGTACCTAAAATACCTTTGTCTGTGATTCAGAACAACTATGACTGTAACTATCTAGCCTTCAACTCCATCAAAGTCCTGAGAAGGATGTAGTGTTAACTGTGTAAGTAGGAAATGCATAACAATCAACTTCCAAAATTAGGAGAAATGACAGAATTCCTCTATAATGTTGGGGCATCCATCTTTGGGCTACAGGCCTAGAACATCTGATAGACTTTTTTTTGTGAAACAGGAAAATTTTAAAGACTGTCACACCGTCTTGACAAAGTTCAGCAATCACTTTTATTTGTGTCTGCTTGCCCAGTTGGAAAGGCACACTGTCAGCAGGTGAGGCAGGGGCAGTTTCTTGCCCTAATGGCTAGCTTTTGCCACAAAGAAAGCACAATGGCAAGAAGAAGGAAGAGGGGGAAGAGGAGGAGGGGAAAGAGGAGGAGGGGAAAGAGGAGGAGGAGGAGGAGGAGGAGGAGGAGGAGGAGGAGGAGAAGGAGAAGGAGAAGGAGAAGAAGAAGAAGAAGAAGAAGAAGAAGAAGAAGAAGAAGAAGAAAGAAAGAAAGAAAGAAAGAAAGAAAGAAAGAAAGAAGGAAAGAAAATTGTTGGTTAAAGTACAGACAGGGGCAGGGAATGTTGAAATCCCCTTAGGGTAGAGAGCACAGGGTGACAGAAGCAGATGCTGCACGTAAAGGACCCAACCTTTCCCTCAAGCAAGAATGAGGAATACTGAGAACTCAAGAACAATCGCAGTGGGTTTTTGATCCTACTGCACGTACTGACTTTGGGGGAGCCTAGGCAGTTTGGATGCTCACCTTATGAGACCTGGATAGAGGTGGGCGGTCCTTGGGCTTCCCACAGGTCAGGAAACCTTGATTGCTCTTCGAGCAGATGAGGGAGGGGGACTTGATCAGGGGAGGGGGAAGGAAATGGGAAGCGGTTGCGGGGAGGAGGCAGAAATCCTTAATAAATAAATAAATTTTTAAAAAAAGGAAAAAAAAAAGATGAGAAAGAAAGCCTCAAGCTGAAGTCCCTTCAGCTGAAGTCATTTCCTGCTGGGCCAGGGGTTAGAAGACAAGGAGTGAGAGCAGCCTCTGTGGACACAGGAAGCCAAGTCACAGAAAATGAACTCCCTGGAAAAGTCAATGGCACCAAGAAGCTTCTGGGAGGAGGAGATTGGTGGAAGGCTT